TTCTTTCAACAACCCCATTTTGTTGTGGTGTAAGAGGGCAGGTAATCTGATGGATAATCCCATGGTCAAGCAAATAAGAGGCTAATGGGTTTGCAAAATATTCTTTTGCATTATCGGATCTAAAGATTTTGGTTTTGACCCCAAATTGGGTTAAAATCATCTGATAAAAGATCTGAGTCAATTTTGGAACCTCATCTCGAGAATGCATAAGGTAGACCCAAGAAAAAAGAGTATAATCATCAACAAACAACAAGAAATATCTGTACCCCCCCATGGCAGTGATATGATAAGGTCCCCAAACATCAGTATGCACAATTTCAAAGGGAATATTGCTTCTGCTATTACTCAATGAATAGGTTATTCTACAGTGTTTTGCAAGTTCACAACTTTCATATTTCAAACTAGACATCTGGATAGACTCAAATAAACTAGGAACAAACTCTTCAAAGCCCAAAAGGATAAGTGACCCATCCTATTATGCCAAAGCATCACTTGATCAACAGACTGAGAAACAAAAGACCTCTTAGTTTCACTACCTTCCCAATGAGAACTCCCTCCTAGCAGATAGATTCAATTCGTTTTACGGCCAGTCCCGATCACTTTCCTTGTCTCCAGATCCTGAAAAACACATCGATCAGGGAAAAAGGTTACTGAACAATTCTGGTTTTTTGTAATGCTACTAACTGAAAGCAAGTTAGTACTAAGTTTAGGAACATGCAAAACCGAAGATAAGGAAATGGCATTAGACAACTTGATGTCTCCCTTGCCAGAAATAGGAACAAGGGAGCCATCAACAATAGATACTTTGTCTCTACTGGAAGATAAATGATAGGTAGTAAACAGTGATGGCAAGCCAGTCATATGGTCAAATGCTCCTGAGTCTATTACCAAAAAATGTTCTGGATTACCTAGAGCTGAAGCATGATAAGCTGAGGCCCGATTACCTGAATGAACAAAGGATGAGGTTGGAAGAGCTGATGATGGCTGAGGAGATGGCACTGAATTACTAACTTCACTTTCCAATTGTGTCAGAGTAGCTCGGACAGCAGCTAGAGTGTCTAGAGGAGTGCCTCTTGAGGCCGATGAAGTTGTACTATCAGTTGTTAACAGCCATATTGGCATTCCCCTTTTTGTTTCTGAGTTTTGCTGGAACTAGATGTGGATGCAACTTCCAACAAGTGTCTTTAGTGTGTTTAGGTTGCTTGCAATTTTCACATACTAGATCCTTCTTAGCTTCCTTCTTCATATCCCTTTCCTTATCACCCCCAGACTTGGGTTTAACTGCTGCCAGGGCTGATTCGAAAGGCTACTGCTGTAACATAACTTTTCTCCTAATCTCTTCATTGGGCACTAGGGAATAGGCTTGAGATAGAGTTACACTATCTGTTGTCAACAATTGATGTCTCAGAATTTAGACCAGCCAGGAACTCAAACACTCTATTAGTTTCAACTTGTTTTCTGTAAGTCTGTGCATCTTTTTGACTATCCCATTCATTTGTTTTAAGGTCAATTTCATGCCATAGAGATTTCAAGGTTGAAAATTAAACAGAGACCTATTTCTCTCCTTGCTTGAGATTTTTAACATCACATTTCAGCTCATAAGCCTTAGCAACATTAAGGGGCTGAGAGTAGGTTTCTTTCACAACATCCCATATTTCCTTAGTTGTTTTTGCCCATAAGTAGTTTCGGATGATGTGTGGCTGCATGGAGTTGCACAGCCATGTCATCACCAAATAATTCTCTTGAATCCACTTAGCATAAGTGGGGATCCTCCTTAGTTGGTTCCTTCATATCCCCCAACAAATAATTCAGTTTTCATCTACCCCCAATGGCCATCATGGCTGATTGGCCCAATCTAAGTAATTTGATCCATCAAACTTAACAGTTGTAATCTGGTAAGTGTTCTCAGTCGTGTTACCCGAATCAGTCCCAAAAACACCCTCCCCTTGGCTCTTAAACTCCATTCTTGATTAGGAGTTGATCAAAAAACACCTCCTAATTACTGTAACAGTCGGCCTACTGGGTCTGTAACTAGTAACAGTGGGTCTAGAAGCAGAATTCAGATTCAGTAAATTAAAAGAAACTTTCTAATTACTGTGACAGTCGGCCTACGGGGTCTTGAAACTGATAGCAGTAGTAACAGATTTCAGATTCAGCAGTAACAGTCCTGCTGAAACAGCTCTACTGGGTCTTCCAGAGAGCAAAAATAAACCTTAAATTGAGGGAGGCAAATCTTATCACCTCCCTGAAACAATAACAGTCCGGGATCTGGGGGTTTTTCTCTTAAAACCCAAAAAGAATGTAGAAAGGAGATATTTTTATAACCGCACCTCTTAGATTAAACTATTCTTGCTGCCGATCTCAAGAAAGAATAAAATCTTACCCTGAAAATTCTGAAAACACTGATCTTGATCCTGAAATCCTCTGAAATTCTGATCGCCACCTCCAATCTTGATCAAAAAACTTATCTTGAACCTCTTATCTTTCTCTGATTCTTCCTGGTTATCAAGGGCACGATCCAATCTTTGGACAATTGCTGTAATATCAGATAACCTCCAATAATCAACCGAAGAAAGATCTTTCTATTCTTCCAGCCCTAGGCAATTCTCATGTGGTCGGATGGATCAGACTCGCATGAGAAGCCTAGATCTTGCTCTGATACCAAGTACTCATACAAGACTACAAATAGCTTTAGGTTTTGAACAGCAAAAATAAAAGAAAAGGAGAAGAGAAGAGAGGAGAAGAAGAGAGATGGAGAGGGAGAACTCGCAGAGAGGTTTGAGAAAAGAGAGAGTGGTTGGTGTTGTATAAACAGCCGGCCCCCTCTTTAAATTTATATTCATAATGTCTTAATTGTAAAAGGATTACAAGAAGGGCAGAAGGGCTGAATTACCCTTATTGCTTACATGGCAAGCATAGTTGTCAAGGCAACGCCTAGGCGGCTAGGCGCTTTTCAAAGAGCGCCTTGCCCAAATGCCAAGAAAAATTGTATTAGGCACATGCTTAGTGGCCTGAAACACATATATAATATAAAATATTTATTAAATAAAAATAAATATAAAATATATAATATTTTATTGGTTGGTTTTAGTTTTCATAATAGGACATGTTGCATGTTATCATGTTTTTGTTGAAAGTAAAAACAAAATAATCTCAAGGGCTTCACTTTGACAAAAGAACCGAACTGAGGAAGAGAAGAGAACAACAGCCCTCCATTGTTCCGACACAGTCCTCTAAGTCCAGGTGAGTTAATCAGTTTCCTCCTTCGTTTTGTTCTCTTCTTCCATTGGTTTAAAACAGTGGTTATGCCCCATTTTTCTCCTCTTCCTTTTTGTTGGACTAAAGCCATTCTTCTTTCCTTGTTTGAATCATATTATTGGATTAAAACAGGGGCTCCCCCCCCCCTTTTTTTGTTCTTAAATTTCTTGCATGTTTTCAGTTTTTTTCCCTCATTATTGGTGTCTGAAACAGGGGCTCCATCCCTTCTTTTATTCACCATATTCTTCTTTTATTTTAGTTTTTTTTTCACCAACTTTTCTGGGTCTAGAACAGGGGYTTCGCCCCCTTCTTTTGTTCTTAACTTCTTGCATTTTTCAGCTTTTTTTTTGTTCTCATCAATTCTTGCTTTTTCTCCCATTAGCTAAGGCATGAAAAAATTTTGTGCTCCCATCCCCTTCTCTAATCCATTTGTGTTGGGATTTTTGTCTCCAACAGACTTCCTCATACAAAATGTCTTCCAACTACTTTTTTAGCTCCCATCTCTGTCCTCTATCTCTCTCCTCCAAAGTGCCTTGAGTTTCCTTCTCATCTAGCCCTTTCTATCAATCACTTCCTATGGACTCTCATTCCTTTCCAATTGGCTCTAGGTCTGCTTTCTTTCCACCACTCCACTTTTTTTAGGAACCTAGGATGGGACAGCCACATGTTCTAAAACCTTAAGGGTGCAGGTCCTATGCTGAAGCTTCCTTCCTTACAGATGGTAATCAGCCAATGGTTAGAGGTGACTCCAGGTAATGCTCGGGACACTAATCCTCCCCAATGCTCTTCCGAATCCAATGTAAATAGGAATCCATCTAGTTTAGAACATATTGGGTTTAGTTGCATGTTGGACCAGGTGAAGTTATGGTGTGCTAGAGGAATTTCCTTAAGCTCAAAGGTATTGATAAGCTAGTTAAACTTCCTCATGCTAGTATTGATTCTCTGTCTCTAGTTATTTGTTTCTTTTGTGAATCTTATAACATTACAATCTCCTCCAATACACCAAGGCCCTTCCCATAAACCTCTAATGTCACCTAATTCTTCCCACATCATTTCTTTCCCTATAGCCATTTGGTCCATAGACATTTGTCAAGACCTGTTCAAAGTCATCCTCCACTTGTCAGAATTTAATTGAGATTGTGAATCTACCTATCAATTCCTCTTTTCCTTGTACTACCTCATTTCTCCACAAAATTATAATTCCTCCTGAAGCTCCCCAAGAGGGTGACAAAGCCTAGCTCAGACCTCTAGATCTCCACAGACCTCTAGCCCATTTATTATCAAATTCTGCCAGTTTAGATTCCTGTATTATTACTATGTCAGGGTTTTCTTTCCTAATGGCCTCCTTTATTACTGATCTTTTCCTCGCACTCCCCAAACCTCTAACCTTCCAACTCAGAATTTTCATTTGAAATCAGTTTTACTAGCACAAACCAAATCAGTTTTACTCCTCCCAGATTACCTCTCCTCTTAGCCTCTCTTGCTCTTCCTCTCCATTTCCTTTGTTCTCCCCTGGTTCGGCCACTTTCCCTTTCCTGTTTAAAAAAATGTTGGTCTTCCTTTATTATGAAACTTAACACCTTATATGCATAGCTTAAAAATAAGTAACAAACTCTGCCCTAGTTCTTCAATCTTATATTCTGAAAACCCTCTTATGCCCCATTTAAAATTATAAACCTCTGGCCACCATGCAAAATGCATAATACTACCTGCATCAGACATTGAATGATGTGAAGATGTACCTGCTGCAGCCATCACCACTGAAATAATAGCCTGGGAATGGCTTGAAATATGTGGTTTCATATCTTTCATGATCACCATAAAGGGTACGGAATGCCCCAGGCCATGAACTCTTTATACATAGATAACCACTGCACTCACCTTCAATCTCAGCTCCCTTCTCATCAACTATGACTGGCTGTATACTCACCCAAAAAAAAATGACAAGATAGATAATGGAATGACAATTCTGTAAGCATACACTAATCAAAAACAAATAAAGTCATATATCAGTTTTACTAACACAAACCTGGACTCCAAAGAAAGGGAAAGTGGCCGAACCAGGCTTCTGTGGCCAAGCACCTGGTAAAGGAGTTATCTGCATTAACAGGAATAACTCTATTCTGTTCATTTTTCACCCTTTAGAAGAGGAAATATGTACTGTATTAACTTGTGGTAGTACTAAAACATATTCAAGATTGGGTATATTTTCTAATGGGAGTAAGTACAATCAAAGTAGCACAGACAGAAGAATGGAAGTTACCAAGAAGCCACCAGTCTCAGTTTGCCACCAAGTGTCTGATATAGGACATCTTGAATCTCCAACAATATTGAAAAACCACCTATACAAAAGCAACTATTTTAAGATATTTTCACATTCAAGGATGAGGGGTGCACACTATACAAAAAAAAGAGAGCTTGAAACCTCCATGCACTTGGATTGATGGGCTCCCCTACACTTCCAAGAACACGTAAGGATTTGCGAGAGTAGCGAGTCACATACTACAAAAAGAGAATTACTTGAAATAATTAAGTCATGATCTTATGAATTCATTGATCATGCAATTTAATGATCCATACAAAACCTCTATTGGCATCATAATAAGAAAATGAAAGCAGCATAACCATGGATAAGTGAAAAGCCTCCCAGGTGGATTGTATTCTCTGATTCATAAAATTGAGAAACCAATCGATTAATAGGCCAAATGTTTTCATAAATGAGCCAAAGGATTAATTAGTGGAGCAAGGTTTAGCTGAATGCTTTAGCTATTCAGCGGGCCGTGGAACCAATAATAAGGTTCCACACCAGTATTAAATACATGGGGCCCACATCTTTTACATTGGGGCCCATGAATTTAATACTGGTGTGGAACCTAATTATTGGTTCCACAGCCTGCTGAACAGCTAAAGCGTTCAGCTAATCCAAATTCTAATTAGTGTAGGAAAAGAAAGGCTAAGCCCAAAGGTTCTGTTTGTGGAGAAGAAGAGAGGGATTCAGAGTTGAGCTAGGAGAAAAAAAGAACTTGATTGGTTTGAAAAAAGAGTTTCAAATCTCACACAATTTGAGTATTTGACTAGGACTCAATCATCTCATCACTGAGACCATGCAGTCCATGCCAATAAATTGACCATAACCTTCTGATTTTCTAAAGCTATCATAACTCCAACTTATCAATTTTTTTGGATAAATAACAGTAATTTCATTAAAAAGAACACAGAAAAATAGGTACAAATTCAGTACAGCACTCGACCCAGGAGGCTTAATGAAACAAGGGGAAAAAAACTGAGTCAAAGAACAAAGAAAACTACATTTTGGATGACTTTAAAATGTAGTTTTTAAAGTTAATTTCTTTTTACAAGAGAAAACTCATTTTTTATCCATATTTTGCATAGACATGTTATTCTTTCCTAGATATATCATCCAAAAAAATCAACTAGACACATATATTAGATACAACATTTGAGATGATTCTTCTTACCTCATCTCCTTCCCGCATGAGGGATCGGACCAATGTTGGAGCAGTATAGAAGAGTGTCACCTTGTATTTATCAACAATGTTCCAACAACGTCCAGGATCTGGATAGCTTGGCACCTGCAGGTATTGTACAAAAATGTTGTTAAAAGTAAATAAAAAAAGTGTTATATATATATATGAAGTGATGAATTTATTTCTCTGATGTGGTGTAGAAATATAAAAATAGATGGCACAGGGATCTATTTTTAATTATCAAAAAATAGATGGCACAGGCATGGGGGCAGTATCTGTGTCCTGATTATCCACCATCACCATTTAAAAGGCGCAACTTAGCATAAGTTGCTCTGTTCAGTCATATGAAATATTAGTTACCTTATCTCTCTACCAAGTACCAACGTAGGGAGTGTTCAGCAACATGAATGGTTGTGTTTTTCAAAACAAAAATAACTGCCAAATCAATAAAATCATAAGGATTTTGCTGATGTGACAGTTGTTTTTGTTTTGAAAAACAAAATCATGCACATTAGGCAAAAACTTCCTTAGTCTCCACTCTCTGGTACGTATCCCTATAAGCATGTAATCTTTTGCTTGCTATCAAATAATCCATGTTATGCAGGAGAGAAGAGAGGAAGAAAGAAGAGAGAGAGAAGAAGAGAGAAGAATGATTTGAGAGCCAAAAAAGGTGCTGGTGGAGCCAGCCTTTTAGTATATATACTAGGACGACAGGAAATAAAAAATAAGTGGAAAATTACAATAGTACCCCTGCAGTACTATACTTCGAGAAATAACAGCTTTTAACACTCCCCCTCAAGTTGGGACATAGATGTCAATCATGCCCAACTTGTCACATAAATCATGATGTCGTGAGTGGTGTAACCCTTTTTTGTAAAGATGTCTACAAGTTGATCTTCAGAGCTAACATAAGGAGTACACACTTCCCCTGTGATGGCCTTTTCTCTAATAAAGTGTTATCGACTTTGATGTGTTTAGTTCTATCATATAGCACTGGATTAGCAACAATGTTTATGGCTGCTTTGTTATCACAAAATAGGGTCATAGGTCCGTCCACTGGAAAGCCCAACTCACTCAACAAATTTTTTAGCCACATAATTTCAGCCACTCCATGAGCCATTGTCCGATATTCAGCTTCAGCACTAGATCTAGCTACCACATTCTGCTTTTTGCTTCTCCAGGTAACTAGATTCCCTCCTATAAAGGTACAGTAGTTACTAGTTGACTCTTTGTCATTTAGGGATCCTGCCCAATCAGCATCAGTGTACACTTCAACTTTCAAATGCCCGTGCTTTTGAAACAACAAGCCTGCACCTGGGGACTTCTTAAGATATCTGAGAACTCTTTCTACTGCTTCAAGATGAGTGGTCTTAGGAGCATGCATGAACTGGCTAAGAACACCCACTGCATAAGCAATGTCGGGACGAGTCATAGAAAGATATAACAATCTTCCTACAAGTCTCTGAAACTGTTTCACATCCTTGATAGGTTCACCTTGGTAGTCACCTAATTTGTGGTTAGGATCAATAGGGGAGTCAACTGGCTTCACTCCCAATTTTCCTTTGGAGTAGATCTAAGGCATACTTTCTTTGGGAAATGAAGATACCCTTTTGCGAGCGGGCCACTTCAATTCCAAGGAAGTACCTTAGAGGACCTAGATCCTTTACTTCAAACTAGGTAACAAGAAAAATCATCAACTATTGAATTTCATCCTTCCAATCACCAGGGATAACTTCATCAACATATACTATCAATGCTGCAATTTTTCCTTCCCCTCTTTTCACAATCAATGTGTGATCAGATTAACACTGCTTGTATCCTTTCTACTGAACCGCTACATGGAACCTACTACCAAGCTCTCGGTGATTGTTTCAGTCCATATAATGATTTCTTTAACCTGCACACTTTTTGTTCATTACCTTGAGCCCGAAAACCAGGGGGTTGTACCATGTATACTTCCTCTTCAAGGTCACCATTCAGAAAGGCATTCTTGATGTCGAGCTGATGCAAATCCCAGTCAAGATTAGCAGCAAAGGAGAAAATGACTCTAATGGAGTTCATCTTGGCAACAGGTGCAAAAGTTTCTGCATAATCAACTCCATACACTTTTGTAAACCTCTGCCACTAAACGAGCTTTATAGCACTCCACCGTGCCATCAGCCCTATGTTTAACTGTGAAAACCCATTTGCATCCAATTGGATCCTTTCCCTTAGGAAGATCTACTAGTTCCCATGTGCCATTTTTATGTAGAGCATTAATTTCTTCCTTCATAGCATCTGTCCATTCAGGCACTGAAAGAGCTTCTGACATATTCTTAGAGATAGGAACATTGTCAATGGAAGAGAGAAAGGCCCGAAAAGAGGGTGAAACGTTTTCATAGGAAACAAAGTGGGAAATGGAGTGCTTAGTGGTGCAAGATCTAACACTTTTCCGGTGAACAATAAGAAGGTCAAGGTCATTAGCAACAAAAGTATCAATAGCAATAGGGTCAAGAACATCGATAGGAACCAAGATACCTGAATGGGTATGATCCGCCCCCAGAGAGTTTGATGGCATTGGTGGTACAGCTTCTAGGTTCTCCACAGCTCTTGAACATGGTTGGCTTTTGTGACGATGAAAGAAGACACGAAAGAGAAGGTTCAAGAAGAGGAGGGAGCTGAACCAATTTCTCCTCATTCCTGCACTCCCCCTGAGGAAAAACAGGGAAGAAAGGCTCTCTCAAAGAAAGAGACATCCATGGAAACATTAAACTTCCGAGAAACAGGATCAAAGCACTGGTATCCCTTCTGAGTGAAAGAATACCCCAAGATGATGCAAGGAATAGCTCGATGATCTAATTTTCCACGAGTGGGTGACAGATTTTGAACAAAACAACGACAACCAAACACACGAGGAGGAATAGAAAGAATGATAGCCTTGGGAAAAGGAAGCTAATATGGGGGGACATACGGTTGATGAGATAGGCAGCACAAAGGACAGCCTCAAGCCAAAAATGTTTCAGGACATTCATATGAATTAGTAAACCCCAAGCCACTTCAAGAAGGTGTCAGTTCTTTCTTTTAGCAACACTGTTTTGTTGTGGTGTTCAGGCACAAGAGCTACGAGGAAGTGAACCACATGAAGCAAAAAATTCTGTGAGATCACTATGAAAATAATCTTTGGCATTATCTGAATTGAAAGATTTGGATTTCAGTTTGAAATTGGGTGAAGATCATCCACTAAAAATCTTGGATAATTTTTGGTACTTCATCCCTGGTTCGCATGGGATATACCCATGTATATCTGGAGTAATCATCAATAATGGTAATAAAATACTTGTAGCCACTCTCAGATAGTAAAGTAACAAAGCCCCAAACATTAGAATGAACAATGTGGAAAGGAAATTCAGATTTATTATTCTTTGAAGAAAAATGAGTTCTACATTGCTTACTCAATTGACAAGTTTCACAAGTAAATTCTGAAACTGACACTGACTTAAACAACTCTGGAAACACCACTTTTAAAGACTCAAAAGATAAATGACTGTGGTCACTTGTGGTGATTGAGAGAGAGAGAGAAAGAGAGGTACGGATGAGAGGAGAAAATCAGTACTGGTTGCCGCCAGTTTTCTATTTATATTAATCTTTATAAAAGAGATGAAATTACAAGTATGCCCCTGGCGGCATATCCTAGGATAAGAACAATAAGAAAAGAAAGAAAAGAAAGAAAAAAAAGGGCTAGTAGCTAAATTTGTCCTACTACCAACAGTTATAAAGAACAATTAAGCCTTACAACACTCCCCCTCAAGTTGGGTTGAAGATGTCTATCATGCCCAGCTTGTCACATAACTCATTGTGCCGCAAACACGGAAGTCCTTTTGTAAGGACATCAGCAAGTTGTTCCTTGGAGTTGACATAAGGGATGCAAATTTCCCTTTTTTCCAGTTTCTCCCTTATGAAGTGCTTATCCACCTCAATATGCTTGGTCCTYTCATGTAGGACTGGGTTGCTGGCAATGTTTATTGCAGCCTTGTTGTCACAGTAAAGAATCATAGGACTATGAACAGCAACTCCAAGCTCACCTAGAAGGTTCTTTAGCCAAAGGACTTCAGCCACCCCATGTGTCATAGCTCTATACTCAGCTTCTGCACTTGATCTTGCTACCACACTTTGCTTCTTGCTCTTCCAAGTCACTAGATTCCCTCCCACATATGTGCAATACCCACTAGTGAACTTTCTATCATCCATAGCTCCTGCCCAATCAGCATCTGTAAAGACTTCCACCTTTAGGTGATTGTGTTTACTAAATAGTAGGCCTATCCTTGGATGTTTCTTCAAGTATCTAAGGACCCTCTCTGCTGCCTCCATGTGTGGCTTCTTAGGAGAGTGCATAAACTGGCTCAGAACCCCAACTGAATAGGCAATATCTGGACGGGTCATGGATAGATAGATCAGTTTTCCCACTAACTTTTGGAATTGTTTTACATCTTTCAGCGGTTCACCAATACAGTCACCTAGCTTGTGGTCCACATCCATAGGAGTACCTGCCGGCCTTGCACCTA